TGACTGAGGTTGAGGATTCTGGAAGCTTATGTTTGTAAGAGTTTACATGTTCAAGTAATGTTCCAAGAATTGATTTGCTTAAGCAATCATATAAATTAATTCTTTTTTTTCCCAAAGCAATATGATTTTTATATTTCGTAACACAATGTGGGAACCCCCAGTATCAGATTCCTAATTTTACAGAACTGGGGAGTCATTGGTGTTATTGGAATGTATTAAATGTAGCACAATGTGTCAATGACTGTGTTGCATTGTGACTTGCTGGTGGTGTTTGCATTCAGGCTTCATGCAGGCTGATCTATCAAGCATATCACGGGTGGATGTGTGGGCACCACAGCAGCTGTGCTTTCTCTGCGGCTGCCACATGACCTCAGACAGTCCGGCAATGTGCTGGTTTGAACTGGTTATTAAAGTGTTCTAAACCTGACACTGCCCGAGGCGTGTTGGCTGTGGTTTAAAACAATCTGTATACACTCTAAAAAAATCTTTAAGTGGACTGAAACACCCAGAACCCCAGCTTGCCAGAAAGCCAGTGTTCGTAAATGTGAGAGTGGATATGTCTGGGTAGACTTCATTGCTGTTAAACAGCTTTTTGGTGTGACTTAGGAACATATGGGGTGTTCCTGATAGTGCTGGAGGTAATAACTGAGGATCACAGGTTGTTTAGGTAATTCCCTTTACACTCGTTGCAGCTCTAGTCTATACCAGACATGGGCAACTTCCTCCTATCCTCAGAGGTAGATGTAAAATGAGGGGATTGTGCTGTGTTCCGTTTACCTTGGAAGTTGGAGCCGGGCATCCAGACACACTCAAGTTAAGAGTTCCAGTACAGCAAATCGGAAAGCCATTTGGCAATACCAGGGACCTGTCTCAAAAAACAGTATTTCTTGGCTTAGCTGGATAACTTGTTGGATTTAAGGTACTCCAGCATAAATGGCATTTATCATTGTTCACTTTCATTTAGATTACCTTAAATCTGGCAAGTTATCTGGCTCAGCAAGAAATCCTGCTTTCTGAAACAGGCCCCTGGTTTAGCCAGGTTCATTGTTAGTTAAAACCAGTTAACACACATTTTGAGCATGCACTTAATAGCAACATGTCTGTAGATAGCGGTTGGACAGTACTATGTGCAAGATCAATTTAATGAGCTACAAACAAGACGCAAATACTAATAAACAATATATAACTAAAGCTGCCATTTCTGTCGATGATGGCTGCAGCCATCTTGAATTCTTTGAGTTGGAATTCTAACTTCAGGGGACATTCCAGTTGAAATTCCCAACTTCCAGATTCAAATGGAACACAGCATAATAAGGAAGACCACTGTATTAAAACTGCCCAAAAAGGTGGGTGACATCTTCTAGCCCACAGCTGACAATACTTTAGCCCCAACAATCAAGACATTGTTAGACTCTCCCTAAAAGTAGACCCATGTGTACAAATTCTGTAAAAGGGAATTCTACAAATGAATGTGGCTTTGAGATCCATCTAATTACCGGCATCACCACAGTGGTAAACCATGTACAACTGAACTCAGTCACATGCTTTTCCCTATGGAACCTGGAAACACTAATGTAGTGTTTTGTGAGTTTAAAAATAGTTGCTGAAAGAATACAAAAACAAACCAATGGTTTTTCATCCATTTATTTTACCAGCATCTGGGAAACATTCTAATTCTCATCAACATTGACTGTCTGCATGCCTGAAAAAAAAACATTTATATGTCATTAGTTATACACAGTAAAGCAGGACTGCTAAGGTAATATAGCAGAAACATTCTAATACATGCACTGAAGAATGGGTTTCAGATCTATGTTGCTACAACAGATTTTAGAAGAAATGTAACTCATAAGAAGCTGCATCAGTTCCAAAGAGACAGGCCTGCAATTTAAGTAACTATATTCTAGGTTGGCAAAAAGACAATAATTTCACAAAAACAGGCAAAAAGGGGGCACTTTACATGTACTTATCAGAAGCACCAGAGAATCACTGGATGTTCAGAAGATTGTCCTTGTGAGCTTACCTTTGAATGTTGTGACAGGGACGTACGTGACGAGGGTGTACAGCTTGTTGGGAGAATCCTCATCTTCATTGCGCTTTCTGGACAGTCGAACGCGTATGCGGTACGGCACGTTCCTACACACACACACACACAAATGCCATTAAGTAACTTGTCTTGGGACTGAGCACGGAAAGACTAAAGCGATCTATGGGAGAAAGTAACACAAAACCCTTCAACATTCAGCTTGTATGACTGGATAAACTGAGTGCTGTGAGCTGATGATATACTGAAGAGCTGAGTGACCTGTTGTCACTCACTTGTCCAAATGCAGCAGCACCTACTGTGGGATAAGCATTCAGGAGACCAGATGACACAAAAAGACAACCAGTGGCCAACAGCAAGATGCTCCCGGTGGTGCAGAGCTAGTGATTATAAACATTAGGCGCAGGCTGATGGTGCACACATCGCATAATCCACAAGCTGCCCAGAAAGCATGCGTACCTTTCCCAGCTCACTAAACTGCATAATTATGGGAACTTGGTTCTACGAAGTGAAAAGTTTGCGCAAACACCTTATGACCCATCGGTTCCAGGAACACCTCTGCTAGCCTATAACATTCCACATTCCCTGAATGTTCTTAATATTTTCTGCTGACGGAATATTGGATACTTGCTTTGTTTGGAAGATGTTACATACCTCCTGTTCTAATATTACTTACACTTGTTTCTGGGCATTCATTGGAAGCTCAGCCTAGCTGTACTTCTGTCTAGTCGGCTCCTTAACACAGGTATATTTGTGTTGTTTGCTTCACTTATACATCACTTTGAACAAGTGTCTGCTTAATAAAATGTAAACAGTCCAAATCCATGTTTACGGCTCCCTTACGCTGCACAAAAAAACATATGGGCTGTGCTCCTAATGTGACATCTAACAAGCTCCCCGAGACATTTAAATGCTGAGAGCAGGAGTGCAGCTAGGCCTGTACCTCACGCCTTTGGTCCACACGGCCTTGTTGAGGCGCGTATCGATGCGGACGTCGGGGGTTCCCATTTCCTTCATGGCAAACTTGCGGATCTCCTTAATGGCACGTGGCGCCCGCCTCTTGAAACCGCTGGAAGAACAAAGCAGAGGTCATCCAGTTCTGCACGCCACCATTTCTGACAGTCACATGTACACAGTCAGTACTCATATTAACATTGAAAATTCATGATGAGTTTACCATTACAACTTAATTGAGCTGCAACTTAAAGCTAATGGTACCATTTCTGCTGGTGTCTAAAACAACTACATTCATTTATCTGAGGAGAGACAATTGCATCATGTAAAATGGTTAACACATGAAAGGCAGGACTTCCAGCAGAAAAGCTCTGAGCAAAATGATGAATCTGTTTAGGTCCCTGTTTAATTGCAGCCATATTCCATATTAGGCCACTTAAAATTAATAAATTGTTTTACATGGCCGCCCGCCTCAATTTTTTGGTGCCGCCTCGATTTTTTTTATATTTTATAATTTTCAAAAAATCCGTTTTTTTTTTCACCTCAAAAACTGTGGGTGAAAAATCTTGAATGTCAGCCTCGGATTTTTCAATTTGACGCTTCTCGGACAATGGTTTTTATCGTTTGTCAGATTGTGTGGGCCCACGGTATTAAAATCTTGGCAGGGCATCAATATACCGAGTAATATATATTACCCTTCGCGAGCTGTTTGAGAACTTTTCTAGTTTTAGTATATCTCTGTTGCCGTTCGTCTTTTCGCTAAAAATATAAAATATAACATCCCCTACTCATCAATATTTTAGAAGTTTGAATCATGTAAAACAATTTATTAATTTTAAGTGGCCTTATGCCCAGCTTTGATGATCCCATTGATTTCCAACAGGACATTAAGTATAAACACGTGCCAAATATCTCCATATCTTCTCTCAAGCACTGACATCTTGTAAATTTTATATGTCTTCCCCAAAATAGAAATCTTTTCAAAGGATTTAGCACGTTAAACATCATTCTCCAGTGTACTCCAGTGAATCACTGGCGGCACACGCAGTGCGTCAGGTTGCCAGGGACGCCCTCTGACGGCGGAGCAGGCCGGCGCCGGCCGGGAGTCGCACTTACATGCCATGGATGCGCTTGTGGATGTTGATCGTGTATTCCCTGGTCACCACTTCGTTGATAGCCGAGCGTCCCTTCTTTTTCTCGCCGCCTTTCTTAATTGGAGCCATCTAAGAGAAAGAAACACTGCATTTCAGAGCAAACGCATTTACCAAAGCTTTGTCAACCCCGACAAACTTTCAACATGGAAGACTGCGTTCCTTTTTAGTACAAATATATGTAGCTCAGGTAAATTATATCGTCATTATAAAACCACAGAAATGGATTTAACTAGACTATACCCGGCTACCGCCACACGGACAGCTAACGTCTACGTTACTACAATGTCCAAACAAAGCAAATAACTAAAACAAAACGATTTATGCAACCTGTGCACTACTGCAAAATCTTACTAGCAATATCACACACGCAGCTATTCACCCGGACCTCTTCACACCGCTGACTCCGTGTTCAAGGTAGCACCAAATCAGACCGTATGTATCATCCACAATTTACAATCTAAACTCTCAAATAAACATTGCTTATATCGTCAAAAATAGTCTTATGTTTATATGCGTTCAACGTGTGATATTGCAACTACAGTAAGCAAGGATGAATTTGGATTCTTTCAGAAGACATACTTCAAACATACTTACTTTGCCAAGGCAAATGTCGGAAAGGAAGTACTTTGGAATTCTGGGTAAGCTAAACCCAATGAAAACTTTTATTTCCGGGTTCCCCGGCCATTACAGTGAAATAAATAACAAATAATTACATCGTATGTTTCATTTAGCACTGTTAGTTGCAGCATGAAAGATATTGAATTCACAATTAATCTGTTTCGCCATCAACTAAATGTTTTGTAGGAAAAAAGTAAAACCACATTTCCCGTCAGGCACTCGTCGATCGTAAAGCGAATGATGTGTCGTAATAGTCAGTAAGAGGTTTGGAAGGTGTGAAGATGAACTGGACTGTCTTCGTTGTTTTGACAGATAGCTTTATAGTAATATTGTGATACGCATGTATTGAAGTCTCTTTTGTAGTAAGAAGACACTTAAAATCGCTTCCATCATTTATTTTATTGTCAAGTGCTCCCTTAATCAAATTTGTTTTACTTTACGACATAAAACTAATGGTGGGACGGATTCGCAAGCAACGAGTTGATCGGTTTCAAGCTGGGATGGCTAAGCGATGAACCGCTCATTGTGAAAGAAGAAATCGGCTGCCAAAGACATTACATTTGAACTTGTAAGCCAGGTATACCAGCAAACGGAAACACAATGACTTTGGCCCCGAAGGAGCTCTCCAATTTATTGGGAATCATCTCCGAAGAAGCCTGCACCAACACATTCGAAAGTCTGTCCAACGCCTTCCACCACTTCTTCGGGAAAGCGGAGCACTTTCGGGTGGGCTCCGTGTTGGTGATGCTGCTGCAGCAGCCCGACCTCCTGCCCAGCTCCCCGCAGCGCCTCACGGCCCTTTACCTCCTGTGGGAAATGTACCGCACCGAGCCGCTGGCGGCCAACCCCTTCGCCGCGGTCTTTGCTCACCTTTTAAACCCATCACCTGTCGGAGAGGAGCAGGAGAAGCCGCTCTGTGGTAAGCATATCGAGGCCGACTTAAAGCCGTAACATTTTATATGGTATATATCTGGTGAGTTGAGTTAAGAGTAAGGGGGTCACAATCTTGCCATAAAACTTCCTGCAATTTGCAATTTTGGTAATGTTTACTGCTAAGTTAAGCTATGCCTCGTTTAGTTTTACAGTTCCTTAAAGCATGTATCGTTTAAGGTGTCAATTGGGTGAAGAGGTTACAAGTCACTTGGAAATGGGAAATGATTCTGTAATGTGTGCCTTCAGTTTCAGAAAAGGATCATGCCAGTACAAAGCAATGCTTAAGTTTTAGCCAAATGTTTGGACTCCTTTGCCATTTGCAGGATTCCTCCCACCCATCACCCTGCCAGAGAAGTACTTCCTCTCTCAGCTGATGCTGGCGCCACCCAAAGAATTGTTCAAGAAGACACCTCGACAGGTGTCCTGCATGGATGTGGGCAGCTCGCCCCAGTCCATAGATATCAGTGGGCTTCAGCTGGCCCTGGCAGGTAGCTCACTGGTGCTGTCTCAGAGCAGTACATCTTCTCCACACGTACTTTCACACCCGGCATCAGGAACGACATGCATTTATGAGTTCAGCAATGTACACTTGAATGCTGTACTTTGCAGTCAATGAATTACTTCCTGTTTTCTTTAAAAATGGTACATCTTACCTTAGTTATGTTTGGATTTATCACATAAATTTAATGTTTGACTGCTTAAGTGTCAAGAGTGGTGTACAATAGTGTTTCCCAAACCGGTCTTCGGGGAACCCCCAGACGGGCCACGTTTCTGTAGACTATCTAGGGGTCCCCAAGGACTGGTTTTGGGAAACACAAGTCTACATCATCCTTGGGATTTTAGGAACACCACCTGGTTAGTACCACTGAGTATGCGGGCTCCTCTTCAGGGGATCATGGCCTGTTTTCCTCCCACCTGCAGAGCGTCAGTCTGAGCTGCCCACACAGAGCAAGGCCAGCTTCCCTAGCGTCTTGAATGACCCTGACCCAGACTCCTCCAATTCCGGGTTTGACAGCTCTGTGGCCAATCAGATTACGGAGGCCCTGGTCACGGGTCCACGCCCACCTTTGGAAAGTGAGTTATCCCAGAATCCAGGATTTCTTCCTGTTTTAATTATGCACACGGGTACCAAAGACAAGTAACTTCATGAACAGCTGAACTTTGTAGTAAAAACTTAAACAAAAGATAACTGTGCCAATGTAGTAGAGCAGTGGTAAGAGATATGAGAAGCCATAATGTCCTTATGCAGAGAAGGGTTCAGGGGAAAGAATCCCAGCAAATGTGGTCTGTCATATGTCAGATTTTGTCTTTCTGTTGCATGGGCCTTTTATTCAGCCTTTTTGTCCCAGCTTGCTTGCTGTCCACTTGCAATCCCATTATGGCGTGTGTCATTGACGTGTCCATCTAGGCCACTTCCGGCCAGAGTTCATCCGTCCGCCACCCCCGCTGCACGTCTGTGAGGATGAGCTGGTGTGGTTGAGCCCATCAGAGCCGGACCACAGCGTGCAGTGGGATCGCTCCATGTGCGTGAGGAACAGCACCGGCGTGGAGGTCAAGCGCATCATGTCAAAGGCCTTTAAGAGCCCACTGTCTGCGCAGCAGCAGTCTCAGGTGAGGGGCTGCCGTGCATTCAGTTCAGTTTTTTTTTTTATATAGTGTCTTTCACAGCAGTGTCATCCTGAGGCACTTTACTGAGTGTGTGGTAATCTGTTACTACATCATTTATACAAAATGTTTCATTCTCCCCTGACCAATATACCAGGATAGTTTTTCAGAAATCCAGACAGGCTTCTCTGCGTCTGGTCTGTGTTACTAGACTGGCTAATTTGGCTTAATTATAGTAGCCAAACTAGGCTAAATGGGACCCCTCTAATTTTACCTGTCATTTAGCAGGTAATGTTCAGATTAACCTGACATAGCTGGGCCAAGCTCACATTTATAAATGCTGCACAAATATTTACCAGATCTTTATAACGATACAACTTAAAATGTTTTACGCTTAAAGTATGCAGTCTATATTACCTCTTGGTACAGTGCTTTACATTCCAGTTCTATAGTAATATAACTTTCGTTTTAGTCAATACATCACAGTGCTAAACTGAATTAAAACCTATGCTTTAAAATCTACCCAAAAATCAATGGCTTGTCATCAGACACAAAATACAAGTTTGTTTTTCGTCATCAGTGTATCGTTTTTTTGAATAGCCTGCTTTAAAGTACAGAGTTCTGATTTTCTGTGACGAAACAGTGGGTCAGAGCCAGAGTGGGTCAGAGGGAAGAAAACCGACTGTCCCTTATGTTAAAAAAACTCTTTGTCTCGTTCACAGCTTCTGGGTGAGCTAGAGAAGGACCCTAAACTGGTGTATCACATTGGGCTGTCACCAGCCAAGCTGCCCGACTTGGTGGAGAATAACCCTCTGGTTGCCATAGAAATGCTGCTGAAGCTGATGCAGTCCAGTCAGATCACAGAGTACTTTTCAGTGCTGGTCAACATGGACATGTCCCTGCATTCCATGGAGGTGGTCAACAGGTAACCACTACTGCACCTTCACCTGTGCTGTGACAGGTCCATGGCCACTGCCAGTCCGTGGAAATGACCAATGTGCAAATTGTAGCATGCAGATGTTTTAAACCAGTGTTTCCCAACCAGACAGTCCATGTTTTTGCTGCCTGTTGACTGTCTGGCAGGGAGCTGGGAGGGATCAAAAATGTGGACTGTCTGAGGGTCTACGAGTACCAGGTTGGGAAACACTGCTTTAAATAATTAACGGCTGTCATGAGAAATAAAGGAAAGATGCTGAAATCAGTAACTGCAAAAGCAATATGCTAACGTTATGTTTTCATCCCTCGATGAACACAGGTTGACAACAGCAGTTGACCTTCCGCCAGAGTTCATTCACTTGTACATTTCCAACTGTATCTCTACCTGCGAGCAGATCAAAGACAAATACATGCAGGTAGGTCCTACGGAGACCTGTGTCCATGGACACACCAGTCAGGGTCTTGCGCAGTGCTGCCAGCTCAGGTCCTACTCTGCTGGTAAGGCTTAACAAACCTGAATAGCCTTTTGGGGGGAGAAATTTGTTGCTCTGTGAATCTTTCACACTCCCTCAACAGGAGGCCAGGATGGTCCTCTGTAATGCATTTGTAGTATCTAACAGTAATTGGAAAAACAAGACACGTTAAAAAAAAGTCTTCATAGGCGCTTTAAGTCAGAACAGTTTTCTCCCCAGTAAGTGATGCGATTTTGAACCGATCATTTCTGGTTAATATAGTTGATGTCTTAAAAGAGAACCAGTGTTCAAAGATGAGCTCAATGATCTCCTTGTTGCCATCCTGTTCCTGGCCGTAGAATCGCCTCGTCAGGCTGGTGTGCGTCTTCCTTCAGTCGCTGATCCGAAACAAGATCATCAACGTGCAGGACCTGTTCATCGAGGTGCAGGCCTTCTGCATAGAGTTCAGCCGCATCCGGGAGGCCGCCGGCCTTTTCCGCCTACTTAAGACACTGGATACGGGCGAGAATCCCACAGAGCCCAAATCCGCCAAGTAACTTCACCTCAGTTGAATGATTTTGTACCCAGTGGGGTACCGGACCTGCCCCCACCCCCAAATTATTCTCCATTTTTTCCTGTTTACTGGAGTAATCAGCTCGTTTAGGATTACTTCGGTTATGCATTGTTTTGTTGATTAAAATTTTACAAAGCCTGCATGGAGTTTTCTTCACATTACTGTAGTGTGGTCTTTTAGTCTGTATGGCATTGTGTCATTTCAGATTTCATATGTATTTACTCAGCGTCTTACCAGTTCTGCTTTCTACTAGTAACAGCAGCATCTCCCCAGCCCAGATGACCAGCAACCTTTTACTCCTAAATCCGATATTAGTTTAAAAACCCAGTGCTGCTAGATTTTGCCGGAATTGACTGACTTCAAACCATGTGCTGGCTTACTGCGGCGCACACACAGTGACCACACAGGCTAATACAGCAGCACTTAACTAGCAATACTTAAGCATTGTTTACAGCTTGGGCATAAGGGAAAAGGTTACTTTCACAGTTCCTACTAGTTTTCTGCAGATGTTCGCACAAATTTATTAACCCACACAGTTCATTCTGTACAGTGCAAAAACTAAACTTTTGTTTAACAAACAAAATTAGCCCAAGCCAGATACCAGGTCCTCAGTCATAAGGCCTGAACTGTTGCTTAATGTCCTACAGCTTCCAGGAAAGCTTATAGTCAAGGTGTTACAGTTTGGCAGAAAGCTAAGGGTGGTGGTATCTTGGTCCTCTTGGAAATTTTATTTGAAAAAGCTTGTTTTAAAAACTTTTAGCATGCAGCATTAATGTACAAGTCATCTAAACCCTTGAACAAAGTCATGTCTCACTAAATGTTACCGATGTACCAAACAAGCAGACTGCATTTCCATGTTAAAAAAAATAATCCTACAAGAGAAACATTCCACTCAGTTAAGGGGAACCAAATTTTAATGCCCAGTTTTAATAACCGATGCACAACATACCTGTATGAAGAGAATGTTCATTATAAAATAAATGTTTAAAAGAACATGCTGCTCTGAGACCAATTGAGACCACACAATCTGCTCAGGTTTACCTCTCCCTCTGCCATCTGTAAGCAACTCGATCACAGCAGAGATCCACAGGCTGCAGAGGACAGCAGTCTCTATGGAGCGTGTCCCACACTGAATCCTGCTTTTTTCCTTTATGGTCAGAGTATTTTAGGTTCAGGATTGGTGGCACTGCTCTAGATCAGCCAATCAGGAAGCACAGACTTCGGGCAAAGGTGGGGTCGCAGGTGGGGGAGCCTCTAGTGTCCCCTCAGACCTCTCCTGCCCCGGGCCATCGCTGCTTCCACAGGTCGCCATTTTCCTCTTCAGCAGACGCACACTGAGCCGCAGTATTTCATTGTCCACCGGGGCGGCGCTGTAGATCTGCCTGGTTGTGCCCTGAGACCAGGGTAGGGTTAGGAGCAAACCGCAGAGGGTTCAAAGAAAAGCAGGTCTCTTTCAGCAACATTAGATAAAGCAGTGTTTTAATGGTGCAGATTGTATTTTCTAAGTACTAGCCCAATATTTGAAGTCAAGGTTCATTGATCTTGTCTAGAAATCTCAAACCAACAAAAAAAAAAAACAGTCAGTATTTGTTGCCTGGCTGCATCTGACCACATCTAAACTGAGGCATTAATATGCGTGCATCAATAATCATCTGCAATTGGTAGGAGTGTTCACCTCCACCAATCAGCACTTCGCCCTACAAAGTAATCCGGGTGGGTCACCTTGTCATTCTTGAGTAGCTGCCTGCGGATGGTGATGTCCCTGCGGGCACACAGGGCCTTGCAGCAGGGCCCGAGGTTCCGCAGCAGGCCTGCTCTCTCCTCCCTGCGGTTCAGGGCGGCCATGTTCAGAGCCCCCAGTTCATGCTCAAATAATCTGTCTGCATCTGACAGAGACGGAGAGCACAGGTGATTCACACAGCAGTTCGACTGTGACCTCTGAATATTGTGTCTTAGGCTCAGTGTACCCCAGCTTGGGCTATTATAGCTAACCTCTTCCATAAAGCTGAGGCTCTGCTGAAAGCTTAGGCCTGACTTTCACATCCCCCCACATCCTGCAGTTATACTCCAGTCTTCCCATAACTGCCCCAGTGAATGTACATCTTACTCCATACTGGTATGGGTTTGCTAACAAACTCAACAGTGCACAGACAGACTGACCGACCTTTGGGGTCGTCCAGCTCGCCCCGGCAGGCCTCGCGGACCCTGTCGATGAGCTGGGGGCCAGCCAGGCGGCGGGAGACCCCAGCTCGCAGCAGCATGGCCCCCGGGGTGAAGCGCAGCAGCGCTGCCCCTGGGGTGCGGGGCTCCGACGGCTGCTTGGGCATCAGACTGGACCAGTCCACGTCGATCACATCCCGAGGCCCTGAGGGTCACACACAAACACACACACGGCGCTCAGCCAGGTTTTGGTATTTAAAGCACTGTGGTTCATGTGGTAGTAACACGGAACCGATTAGCTGATTTAGGTACAGTGACATCATGCAGAGATGCAGCAGGCTTGTCTCCAACAATGAATCCCAGCTCATGATGCCACTCTGCTATGCTGTCATGTGCGCGGCAGTTAGTGTTCATACTACATTTGGCTGCGGACTCATGGCCGTATGCTGACGGCTTGTCAGGAGCTCCCATGTGAGATGACAAACCTGCAGAGGGAGCCCGAGGATCACTGACTCCCTGCTTCCTTAATCTTCTCACACCACAGTCAGTTGCCTTACCCTGTGACTGTGTTAACAGCCTGGGCTTTCCGACATTGCTGCAGTTTCGTTCCGCCCACAGAAACTTCTGCATTTTTTAAAAAACTGATCTTTGATTTGGAGAGGGGAACCCATCAGGGTAAATTATAGCTAACGGTAGGAAACTGCAGGAACGCTGGCATCGTTCACACATGAACCGGGGCCGGGACACGGCTGCACTGCCGCAGAGTGCTGCTCCGGCGTACCTGAGATCTTATCCTCCTCCTGCTGCTGCTCCTCTCTCTTCTGTGCCGTGCTGTCGGCCAGAATCTCGTCCAGCTCGTCATCGCTGATGGGCTCGTACTCCTCCCCGCCAGACGCCGCAGACTGCGTGTCCCCCACCTTCCCATCATCCTCATCTGCTCCCAGCAACAGAGAGAAAGAAAAAAAAAAGTGAAATGAACCGCAGCTTACAGCCAGGCTAATATTTACAAAAGAACATATGAGACCAGCAGAAAAACAGGAACAATGCAGCACAGCCAATGTATCAGACCTCCCCCAGTGATATGAGGAAGACATTCAGCACAACTTCTGAGCATATCTGCATCTACTGATTTTAACTCCACAGTGATTGCCTCCATTCAAATGTGTTTGATAGCGAAGAGCCATTTGATCTGTAATGCAAATATTTGCTCTATAAAGGGAAGGATTTATTACGTGTTGCAGGGCATCAGCCAGTTTCTATGACAGACAGGACAGGACAGCTGGGCCAGCAGACGACTGATGACTCTGGCATGCGATAGCGGGGCTCTTTACCGTCTGCACTGTCCGCCTTCTCCACCTCACACGACTCTTCCAGGCTGAGTGCTCCGCCTGTGCTTTTCTCTCCCTCGCCAGAGGCGCCCTCCCTGGCTAGGGGCTCAAACTCGGCCCGGTCCGGCTTCACCTCCACGTGCAGGGGGAGTCCCAGCAGCAGTCGGTCACGGTCATGGTCACGATCCCGCTCGCGGTCACGGTCGTGCAGCAGCAGCCCCTCGGCCAAGTGCCTGTCTCTCTCCAGCTCCACTTCCCGCTTACGCAGCTCCCTGAGGTCCCGCTCTCTGATTGGCTCGCGCCCCCCACGCATCATCACTGGCGGAGGGTCCCGGTTCCGCCCGACCCAGTCGCGGGCTTCAGGTTCGGGCCGCTCCCAGTCGGCCCTCTGCTGCTGCCGTGGGTCCTTCCTCTCACGGTCTCGGTCAAACTGCTCTCGTTCGCGGTCACGATCCTTCTCCCGCTCGCGGCTGTCGTAAGATCCCGCCCGGGAGCGCGCCTGCCGCTCCGACTCCGGAGAGCTGCGCCGGGAGCTGTGGCTGCGGGAATCCTGCCGATCTGGAGCAGAGGGGGGGGTCAGGTTAGCCAAACACCCTCACCATACATATCAAGGTTTGTCATGATCACATGACTGACCGTAAGCTGGTGTTCCCAGCTCCACCCACAAATGCCTGGCATTATGGACACAGTGATAAAAACATAAAAGGCAAAAAAAAAGTGACAGCAGGTAAATTGTTACTCCCACTGAGATGCCGATAAGCTTAACACAGTATATGAAGTACCATTTAGTACCATTTACACTCAATGACCTAAACACTGGAGGTAACTGCGATGGGCAGCATCTACTTAGATAGAAGGTTGATAAAACGGCTGGTCCAAGCACTGCCCTGCTTCTGCAGACTGATCAACTGTATGAGTTACCATACATGGACTGTTAGGCTTATAGACCAACGTGTAATGACTTAAGGCCAATTCATAGTTCACTCTTCCATGTGCGCTTTCGGTTGCGGGTGAGTGGAAGGGAACTATCATCAGGTGTTAGCTATGGACGACTGCACGCGTAGTCCAGATTTTTATGTCTAGTGAAAATCTAGTGCATCTGTGTGCAACAACTACTCATGTAAAAGATAATTGATTTGATATTTGCAGTAGGTGGTCAGCGTGGACAGATCAGTGGTCAATAATTAAAGATTAGAAGAATAGTCGTTGTTGTAGTTATGATGGACAGCCGTATGAGGAGGGTTGGAGGTACTCGCATATTTAATTTTTCATACTGTTCAGATACCAAGGTGTACAATATTTTAAAAAGCAAAACTATTCCGACATTTTGAAATCTTGTGCAGACTAATTCTGTTGTAACAATTTCAAAATACCGCAGTATGCCATATCACGTAATACCACCCAAGCAAAAGTATTTGCCCTCTCCTGGTCTGGCAGAATACCAAAAGTAGCTGCCACGCGGGCGTACATGACAGTGCAGCCCGAAAGCGCATGTGGAAAAGTGAAGCATGAAGTGGCCTTTGGTTCAGGGACATTTCAGACAGCTTGTCAATGCAGTTTCTACAGTACAAGTGAGAGAAGCTGTTCAGAGAGGCGAGTGACAAGGAAGTCAGGCCAAAGAGTCTATCAGCGAGTACATGTCACCACAGTGAATTGAGAAGGTGCTGC